GTATCCCTGCTAAAAAAAATCCATTACCCCCCCCCCCCCCCCCCAACAAATCTCCACACCCCCATTTAGAGTATATTGTTCATACATTTTTTGCTAAATTCTGACTGTTTTTGGCATTATTGTTAATGTCACTAAATCTGATAATGAAGCTGTGCAGGAAGCTTGTGGTACTTCATTAATTCCTATCTTGGGAAGCAGGCACTCTGAAATGTCAGAATTAGCATTCCCAATCCTCTATGATGGTGGACGGATTTCAGTAGCAGACAGAGAGCTTTGGTGTACAGCATCGATGCATACCGACTGAGGCTCACTGAGCATTGTTTATTTTTAACCCAAAGAAGTACAGTGTCTCCTTTTACACATATTTTTGTATCATCTTTTAATTCAGAATGCAGCACATTGTGTCCTTCACGAATAAGAGCTACATGTAATTCAACTGTAACAAATCATTAAGGTCTTTAAGTTGGCAATGCGGTGTATATTGTGCCCTTCATGAATAAGAGCTACATGTAATTCAACTGTAACAAATCATTAAGGTCTTTAAGTTGGCAATGCGGTGTACATTGTGCCCTTCACGAATAAGAGCTACATGTAATTCAACTGTAACAAATCATTAAGGTCTTTAAGTTGGCAATGTGGTGTGCATTGTGCCCTTCACGAATAAGAACTATTTTAACTAACAAACCATTAAAGTCTTTAAGTTGGCAATGCGGTGTACATACAAAATCACTATTTTTGCGCACAAATTGGCAATTTTCAGTGCAATTTGCAGTTTTCTTTCTTCCAAACTGTGATGGAGTGGAAAATAAGATATCTTGTAACCAATTTGAGGAGGGAATACTGATTGATTTAGAACAAAAGAAATCTCTGAACTGATATGGACTAAACCAACATCATCTGTTTACAGTCAAAAGGGACATTATCTTATATATTTTTTCCATGTAATTGCTTGTTCCTCTTCTGGTTCTCTACAGCCAATATTTGCATTGCTTATCAATCTGTTTTACACGTACATGTATCTATTTTGTTTGTACTTGTAATAATTAATAATAATATTCCGCTTTGAATGTAGCTGATGAGAGTCATACTGCTTTCAAACTGGCTTCTATCAGAGTCACACCGATGAAAATACAGATAAAATTTTCCTTATGTAAACAAAGGTGAAACCGCCGTTTTCCCTGCTGTCGCTTTCATACTGCAGGTGAAATTCACTCGCTGTGGCGAGCCCTTGCCGGAAGTGAAGAATTATTATGTAATTATTAAGCCCACGCCCCATCTAGCTGGCATGCAGCACGTTCAACAAAGAGTCAACAAACACAGCTGGTTACAATAAAGCGCACACCGATAGAATGAGAATTTCTCCTGCTCTTGAGCAGGAGAATTTAATCGCCTATTTCTCTTCTTTTCATCGGCTATTTAATAGGCTTTTTCTCCTCTGTAGCATTCATAGTGGCCGTTTCATCGGATGCGTCCGGATGCATCCGATGAAAATCAGGTCAGTTTGAAAGGGGTATCAGATTCAGAAATGAATACATTCTAGCACAGAGTTAACAACCGTTCCGGATCTCAAATTTCAACAGATTTTTTTTTAATGTATTAAAAAATGGTCTCTACTTGAATATGTAGGCAAACATTTAAACATCAAAACCATCATCTCATTTAAATCTACTTTACAGTAATTATTTTTTGGGGTGCTGATTTGTTAAGAGATATATTTTAATTTCATTGTATCCCCTCAACTGGGGTTGGTCAGAACGACTACCGGTAGACAAAAGCTGCAAGCAAAAATCATTGATTTTTTCTCAAATTCCTATGTTTTGTCAGAAGTTGTTAGACAAAGCTGTCAAAACATCGGTGAATGATTCCAGATTTTGGTCACGTGACTCTCCTTGCTTCCGTGCAATTGCATGTACGATGTAGAGCAGCGACATGTTGCGCATGCACACTACCTACCCCCCAAAACAGAATGAACAAACACCAACGTTTTTTATGGGTCTTTTCCAGTAGTGTAATTAATGGCAATCAACAAAAAAATGATGGTTTTCAACATGGTTTTGGGTTGTGTAAATGGGTCTATAGTGTCCTGCATAAAAGATGACGACATCCAAAGCCTACTGTTTAACAATTGCTTTCATGCGCACTTCATTCCATACAGCACACAGGTAGCACACCGACTGCCTGGTTATTCTGCTATGTTTGTCATGCATAGTTAATCGCACTATTATGACTAAGGACTCAACTCTTTGTACAGTGTATGTAAGAAGTATGACTCACTATATGATCAGAGTGTCATATGACATGATTGCCAATACACCATGAGCAGCTAGTATACACTGTAGACTAGACATGAATTCAATAAAGAAAACCTCACCCCAAGAAATAACAATTGTACCTGTAATATATATTACCATCATAATCATATTTGTGAACGTCATCAAAGAGTCAGAAAGACATGACCGATAGCCTCAATTGTGAGTTCTTAATTAAGATTCTTAAACAAAAATCAGAAATCATATATACACAGTATCAAAAATACCAGGCACATGTACAGTACATGTAGGTCAATATGAGAACATTTGTATTTAACACTTTTCATTCCAATTTCCCTTTTCACGACTGAAACTGATCATCAGACAGTGAAACTTGAATGATCATGACCATTCTTAGGAAAGAGGCGCTGTCTTTGTGAGAGGGTGGCCTTTAAAGTGTGCATACTGTATGTACATGAATGTACAGGTTCCTGTAATCATCCATGTTTCAATGGGAAACACTTTCCAAGGAAAACGGAAAATACAGTCTATATGGACAGGTGGTCTTTCTATACAGGTGGTCACAAAACAGGGTTTGAATGTATGTACATGTATACCGGTATGTATACCGGTAAGTAACACAGAAACAGGTAAAATATGAGAATCAAAGGAAACCTTATTTTTCTGTATCAAAAACACAAAACTTACTATATACTCTTGTCCAATCATATTGATGGTTGATGTAAACGAAAATAAATATATCCGTCAGTCAAACAATTTCTATTCTGAATTTGGTCAAATTCCAACAAACATCACGCATCATCATGAGGATGCACTCCTCTGCAGTCGGCTCTCATACACTGTATACATATAGGCCTACATGTAAAGTTGATCAGAGTAAATGTCATCAGGGACATTGACGAGCTTGTAGCACTATATAGCAGTCTGTGCAATCAATAACAAAAATCACAAGAACAACATCTATCCTTCCATCAATTTTGAGATACAGACATCGGATGCGAAGTCCTTATGCTAGAAAATTTCAAAGTCTGCATAATGATCAAATCAAATTATATGAAGGTAACAAGCACGACAGCGAAATAAAATCATCGTACATGACATGTACAACCAATACACGACCGATCGAGCGGCACGCTCTACTGGAATGGCACCTTATCGTGTGTATGCCCAATGGGGATTGCACGCATCTCTTTATTAGCATTTCAAATAGTGTGCTAACAGGCAGCCTTGAGCAGCTGTGAATATTCATGATACACTGCAGCTGTATCTCATGCATGGCATCAAAAATATAGAATATTGATTCTGGTCTATGCGAGTGCAAGGTCTATGATGGGGATATTTGTGGATTAGAATTAAAGGCATAAAAAGCAGGAGTGATGGAATGAAGAAGGCTTGTGCTAATACTACTTTAAATTTGTAGTGCCTCTTACTGTAGTTTCAGATTCTTGTTAATACTACTTTAAATTTGTAACTAGTGCCTCTTACATGTACATGTAGTTTCAGATTCTCTCTAATACTGAAAATGCCAATGCAAATTTAATAAACAGAAAGTTATTTCAAAATAAAGTTTTTTATACTGTAATGACCTCTATTAATTACAAATACAAGATATATATCGGTGAAGAAGAAAAAAAAGGGGGTTCGAGTAAATTAGCCCCCAATATGCTAAAAAAGAGCTCCCAAAAGTCATAACAGAGCCCCAAAATTTTGCATAGAGTTCAATACAAAACAAATTAAAGTGTTATTTTCATGCAAGCAAGCTTGAAAAGTAGCCCCTCCCCCCCCCCCCCCCCCATTTTTTCCCCCTGATATGTGCCAAATTGCCAAATGAATCATTTGATGTGCATACAATTGCTACAAGTATAAGCTCAAAAGTACACTCTACATGTAGCTTACTGTAAATTCCTGGACATACACTACATGTACATGTACATTGTAGAGTACCAGCATAATAAGGATATAATTCATTATTCAAATTGTACATGAAGGTCTACATGTATATGTACAAAATGTATCCAAACTTTTTGTGCACGATAGAATAGAGGACTTTTTAATTCTACAAGAATATGAAATATTTTATAATTCAAAGTCAGTTTTGTCATTATAAGTTTTGATGTACAATACATGTACAGTATATACTGTACAGGTACTTATAATAAGTTAATAACCGAATAGACATAATTCTTGTGAAAGCTAAAAAAGTTACATCTTTAATAGTCCGTGCATAAAAATGAAAGCTTCGGGGGAAACAAATTGCACATGATGGATTAAAATATATTTCTTTTGACAATTTCGGCTTGGTTTTAAGTGAAAAGGAAACAAAACACTGAGATACAGATTACGAAACAAAGTAAAAAAAGTACAAAGTACAATTAACACAAACATACCTTCTGCCACCAGTATGATTCAAAAGCTTGCGAGGGTTCCATGTCAGACAGAAAGTGAAATCACTTTCCAACATCAAAACACTTTCCTATTATTAAAGTCCTTGTATCGTTTCATATTATCCTCATGTTTCGGATCACGAGTTTGAGGTCCAGAGGCCAAATAACTGCAGGGCTATAAATGCAGCCTACTGTGACACTCTCAATCTCCATAAAAGTTGATGATTCCTGTAATAAGACACGCTTGTGATGGTACCAGGGTAACCCTGCACAAATGCTGGTGGTCGTCCACGTTCCAATTGCTCTTCCAGCGTGCACAAGTAGACAAGAAAATCACTGAAATGAAGGCTAGGACAAGCACCACTGCTCAGCGGCTATCATCATTTTCCAGTTGCTATTTCTAGGCTTTCTAGCATAACATGTACAGAATGATGAGGGTGTATGATTCCATATGGGGAGGGAAATGCAGGTAGTGTATATGTCTGTACACTCATTATTAGAAGACACACTCTACAGTCAGATCAACTCATCACGAGAAGGCTACTCATAGAGTTATTTTGAGTCCTCGCTTGCTAACACAGCCGTACCAAGAGACACAAGTTCTGGTGTGATCGAGACAGAAAGAGAGACTAAAGAGAAAGAGAGGGAGAGAGATAGAGAGAGTGAATATATGTTGATCCACCTCTTCTCTTTGACTCTGAAGCTTATGAACAGCTCTCCAAACCTATACTTCACTATAATAGACTTCAACAGGGAAGGTGCCTGTTTTTGAGAGAAAACCCACAGCAATGTTTCGATCGAAGAACTTGACGGGGGAACCTCGTGAGTCGAGAGGGGGCAACATGCTCAAGTCCTTTACTGCCAAGTTTGGGACGGTGCACGTGGCGGATGTGATTAAAAAGCTTCCTGAGAAAGTAGTTGCAATACCTGGTAGGGTAGAAGCAGCTATGCATAGGGTAGGTACAACTGTACACTCTCAAAATTTAAGTTATTTACAATTTCTCATGATATTCTTTTTTTTTAATTCATTTGTATTGTAGTCTGACTGCATTGCAATATTTCCCTCACAAATTACTTCATAAAAAAGGGATGCAAACCAATGTGCAGACAACAAATATATATATGAATAATAACATTGCAAGAACAATGCAATTGAAAAATTCTGATTGCTCTTTGGCTAAATCTAGGAATCTCACATTTCAGTCCATTGTTAAAACTGTTGGCAGTGGTATTGCTACTTCAGCAAAAACTATTAAGAAATTTGATCATGCCCTTCTGACAGGCACAGAAATATTTGCTCATTTTTCTTTTCCTTTGAACTCATTTCCATCTATTGCTGTATCAGCATCACTTTCATAGCAAATTTCATATGATTGTAACACGCTGAGAAAATCCTACAGGTACATGTACATGTACATGTACAGGTGTATAAAAGTACACAAGCAATCTATTACATGTACATGTAGAAGTTACAATCTATTTATTCAGCAGAAATACAGATACTTTGGACCTTGAAAGTTGCAAATCCACATGATGTAGACCTTATGTATTTTCTGAACGACTGTTCTTGTTAATTAACCCAACGCGGTTAGTGGTTACACATTTCAAATTGCTGGGACATGTAGGCTACATAAATCATATATACATGTATGGAGAACTGAAATTTTCAACTCCGTGGACTGCCTTTTCACGGACGGTCTTAATTATGTTATTTATGTAACATTCAAACACATTTTGTTGTGTGATACATGTATATACAATGCTTGTAAAATGAAATAAAAGAAATACATTTTCAAACAAACAATTCATTCTGTCTGAGACCATTATTTAGTAATTTCTTTTTAAGTATTTGTATTCAATTTTTTCATTTATTTACTTATTTATTTACATGTATTTATTTATTCATCTTTTCATTGAGCTAAAATATTCATTTACCCCCTTTGATTATTTGTTTACATGTCATATATTAACTCATCTTATTTTTCATATTTGACAGACTGTATGTCTTAAACATGACACCACAGTGAGCAAGTATTGTTTCCTATAATTTATCTAACTGTGTTGTAAAATGTGCAATAGATGTAATGTATAGATAAAGTGTCAGCCTACATGAAAGTGCACATTGTATGCATGCATTGCATTCAAACATGTCCAAAAAATGTAATGTCATTGAAATTCATATCAAGGGACACAGCGTCATTGTCAATCAAGTACAAATAATAACATTGTAATCTGTTTAATTTGCATGCCACGTCTGCAGTATGAAAAGGGCAAAATGGTCTTGAAGCAGATGTCAATAGCAAAGCTTATCCACAGCTACAATTTACATATTCCCAATACTACAAATATACATGTATGACCCATGTTTGTAATACTGAGTATTATTGTCAATAAAGGATGAATTGAGCATTATTACACCATCTACATGTACATGTGGGGGTGAGTGTGTGTGGAATGCATGTGCTTTGTACACAGTCTACAATGTAGGCATTCATATGTAGCTCAGCTTCACGTGCCCTTGTAATATCAAAGTTGTATGAAATAATGAAAGATTATGTGCCTGTGTGTGCAACGCATCATGTACACTGTACATGTGTATGCTACAGTATGTTGTACAATAAACATGTTTTGATAGCAAGCTCTAGACACAAGTCTTGATGTGTTGAACTTTAAATAATCATAATCATTATTTCATCACAGGGTTAATCAAAATAAATCCTCACACATTTGTGTTTGTTGTTTACATTATTATACATTATTTATATTTTTCTTGATGGGGAGGGGGGGGGGGTAGGCAGAAACATAATGGTAAAACAAATCAATACTGAAGCAAAAAAAAGAATATAAAATAGTACAATTAAGGATAATTCACAGTAGTAAGAAAAGTTAAGGGGGTAAAAAAAAAAATTCTTAAATCTTCATACAGGTACTTTGAAAATTACACACATAACTACATAGAACATGTATCATGAACAATATTCATGAGCAGTATGCAATATCTGACTTGTACACATACAGTGTACATGTACCACTCAATTACGGCAGCCGATATTATATAAATATTCGTTTCTGTGGAGGTTGTAACATTTTAGTTGCTGTTGTCATTAAGGCTGTGCACAACAGTGTAATGAGGTACCCGAGTACACTCACATGCTCACAAGCGAATACTCGAATATTCGGACGCCATGTTTTTTTATAATTTTTTTTGAATTTTTTTGAATTTTCATGCAATTTTACTTTGAGTTGCAGTTGAAGGCGCCGATTTAATAAGAATAATAACAGTAAACAATGCTGTTTTAAAAACCAAAGATGGCAGAATAATCCATTTTCCTCCAAGTTCAAACAGAAATCTGGACATTTGGTCCCAGTTTCTGAAAGGTGAGTTTGACAGTGCTTGAGTTGGGAAACATTTTTACCGACGGTACCATGCCAGCAGCTGCCGCTCTCCCTGGCACGGGTAAGCGTGGGCCGGGACATTTTTTAAATATTTTTTTATATTTTTAAATTTTTTTTTTTTTGCGGCCGAATATTCGGGTACGGGAAATCGTACCGGAGTAGTTGTCAACCGTGCGGGTACTCGAGCATTCGACTACCCGTCGCAGCCTTAGTTGTCATTAATTATCATCACCACAATCATCATTATTATGATCTTTATCATAATAGTCATTATTACACAAGTTATTATTATAAATCATCTTCATCGTTATTACCATTAATATTATCCTCATCATCATCAGCAGCATTGTCAGCATCATCTAATTCTAATATCATGATGAGGCCTATCATTGTCTTTTTAAATTTAGAAGTACAATGAAATCTACATGCATTTTATATGCAGCAGTTCATAGTCTACAACTCTACATGGATACAGTGTATGCTTCCCTCTACAGAGCAATGTTAAAAATTAACTTGCAGGGCACACATGCCTGACATTGCTAGACTTTCAATATGTGTAGCAAGGATTATCTGAAACATGCATGAAAGTTTGATTCATCAACATGTCAAAACATGCGTCCCAGAAAAACAAAACTGAGAATGTTCAATGTTAATTAGTTCATTTTTTGGCAAAAAGCCTACTTAATCACAATTATAATTGATAAATGACACATATTTGTAAAGCTTACATGTAGATCCTCCTCTTTCTTTTGATGCAACTCATATGATGCATATTTCATGCACGGGTGACTAAAAACAATTTAAAGGAAGGGTACCGAAAAGTCAGTTGGCGAATTGTATCTGAATTTAAAAGAGAAAATCACATTTCCAGAACGTTCATTTTCTGCCCTTTCATATGACACCTCAATGAGGGAAAATGAGCCAGGAATAACAAAGTTCTGTTTGTTTAAAGAAATGCTTGCATTTCCAAAAATTTTATTAAACAAGTTCGTTTTCACTGGCTGCCTGTCATAGCAGCAAACACCAACAAAGTCTGTTTCGTTGACGATCAGCCATGCATGTCGTCTTCTTTATTGTTAGGGCAGACAGCCATATTTTCTTCTCTTAATAAATTACAATGTAAAACTAAAATCTGTATTTCAATATTCAAACTAGAAATATCGCAATCTGTATTGCCGCACAATGCGAATGTATCCCCCGGCAGTGGCAGCAATTTAGTGTCATCTTGATGTTTGAAGGAGAGACAAAGATCCCCTCTACCCTCCTTGAAACAAAAGGATGATGTAGAGATCGCCACTAGTGGCTCAGACTATTGTCAAGACTAGGAGCAGCATCACCAAAACAATATGTGTGTAGATCAGAATAGAATGCATCTCTGTAGAAAATTTGAAAGAAATCTGTCAAGCAATGTAGCAGTTAGAGCGCACAAAAGACAGCCACCAAAATATGACCTTTGACCCTATAACAGATGATACACATATGTGGCAGCATCACCAAACACTAAAGACGTGTAGATGTACTAAGACACACCTCCATACATGTACAACATTTGAAAGAAATCCATAAATAAATCCATAAATAAATGTTAGGGCGCATGAAAGATATATATATGACCTTTGACCATATAAAAGACGAAACTATGAGGGCAGCATCGCCCAAAAGAGTAGATGTGTAGAATGTACCAAGATACATCTCCATACAAAATTTGAAAGAAATCCGCTATGAAATATGACCTGCAGAGCATGTACTACATGTAGACACCCACCAAAATATGACCTTTTGGCCCTATAAAACAAGGGACACTGGTGGCAGCATCACCAAAACTATAGGTGCATACATGTAGATTTGACCAACATACACTTACATACTCAATTTGAAAGAAATATGTCAAGAAATGATGCAGTTAGAGTGCACTAGAGTGCACCTGAGACATCTATCAATACATGACCTTTGACCCTATAAAAGACGGAACACTGGAGGCAGCATTGCCAAAATCTGTAGGCTTGAAGATTATAACAAGATACACCTTCATTCAAAATTTGAACAAAATCCCTAGAGAAATATGGCTTTATAGAGCGCACACAGACCATCCACAAAAATATGACCTTTACAATCATCGAAGAATGAACACTGGGGGCAGCATCACCAAAAGCAATGGTGTTTTTAAAACCAAAGATGACAGACTAATTTTCTTCAGAGTCCAAACAGAAATCCAGACACTTGCCGATAATGATTGTTTTGAGATCTCCCTAGGGGCAACAAAGTCTTGCCAATAATTATCGTCTTTAGATCTCCGTAGGGGCAACAAAGTCTTGCCGATAATGATTGTTTTTAGATCTCCGTACGGGCAACGAAGTCTTACCGATAATTATTGTTTTTAAATCTCAGTACGGGCAACAAAGTCTTGCCGATAATTATTGTTTTTAGATCTCCATAGGGGCAACAAAGTCTTGCTGACAATTATTGTTTTTAGATCTCCGTACGTGCAACAAAGTCTTGCCAATAATTCATGTTTTAAGATCTCCGTACGGGCAACAAAGTCTTGCCAATAATTATTGTT